TCTGTCAGACATGTGGAAAGCACATACCTATGAGACTTGTATGTTTATATGGTGCCTTGGAATTAGGGGTGTTAGAGAGACAGAGAGAGACAGATTCTTTTTGTCCCGTGTAATAGAATGATGTCTCTGTACGATGGGAGTGCCCACAGGAATGGACTTTTTTCTATGCTTAGTATCCTTAATGCAGGTGGAGCCTGGATTAAAAGGCCAATACAAGACTTGCAAGCAAAAAGGTGAGAAAATTAAATTTGTACTTACATTTTGCTATGAAAACTTTGGAAAAACTCTAGTGAGAGAGAGGTTCCATTTGGGAGTGCATTGTTAGTCAGGTCCATATTCTAGCAAGAGAGGAAACCTCAATTGCAAAATGCTTCCATAATCAGTCCATAGACAGGCCTGTAGGGCCTTTTCTTAATTAGTGATGGATGAGAATGGGCCCAGTCCATGGAGGGTGGGAGCCATTCCTAGGCTGATGGCCCTGAGTTCTATAATAAAGCAGGCTGACCAAGCCAGTAAGCAGCACCCCTCCAAAGCATTAGCTCCTGCCTCCAGGTTCCTGCCCTGCTTGAGTTCCTGTCCTGCCTTCCTTCAGTGATGTGAAAGTATAAGCCGAATTAACCCTTTCCTCCCCAACTTGCTTTTGGTTACAATGTTTCATCACAGACATAGAAGTTATAACAAGGACAGTCATTTGAATGGAGTAACAGGTAAGCCCGTCACAGTCACAACAATTCAGAGAGTATAGGGTGGGGAAAGCCAGGAAAGTCTTCTGCAGAGGTTGAGTTGAATTGTGTCATTTGAGGAAATCACGGGCCTTTAGGAGAAGGTAAAGGGGTAGTGACTTAAAGGAGCTCTGAACAGAAATAACAGGATAACAAAAGTCTAGCTGGTTTTAAAACATACGGGACGGATGGTGCAGGCAGTATAGGGAACAGTTTAGCAACCTAGGACTCCACTTGGTTTGGGCTTCCACACACCTCATTTCTAACTATGCTTTCTGAAACGCTTGTCCTGGTATATAATGCACATCTGCCCCTCTCTGAGCAACGAGCCTAGCAACCCAGGGCTCCCGTCTGCACTGAGCTGTATTCGAACATTCACGGTGAACCACCACCAAACTTAGGATTCTACTCAGCTGTGCTACACTCACATCTAAACACGGATTAGGAAGCCCGATCCTTCCCACCTCTCCTTCTGTGAGGGAACACGGACAGTCAGCAAACTCAGCTGTTACAATCATTTGCGAGTGGGCCCAGGTGAACTTGTTAAGACTGTGGCAGTTTATCTCAGGACAGTCCTGCACAGCAGTTCAACGAAGAACCCATCACGGTGGGGAAGTTAAGGTGGCAGAAGCTTGAAGCAGTGGTCTCCTCATACTCGAAGGCAGGAAGCAGAAAATGATCAATCTGTGCGATCAGTTTGCCTTTATCTTTTATTTTGATTTGTTTCAGTCCAGGATCTTCTGCTCAGGGAATGGTCCTGCCAAGAATTAAAATGGGAAGTCCCATAGCAATGAACGTACTCAAGATAATCCTTCACAGAAATGACTGGATAACCACCTAGGTCATTCTAGTTTCTTTCAAGTTGGCAATTAGCACTCATAGTCTCAGGGAGCATCCTGTGATTCTTCAAAGGCGCATGCAACTGTACACCACATAGAGGAAGCCATCTACCATGGGATTCCCCCCAAAGATGCTCCATTCTCAGATGGCTCAGCCTTAGTGTCATGTCTTACCACCTATCACAGTGAGCATGCAACCACCACCACCACCAATACCACAACAACAACAAAAAAAATCAGACCATCCATCCTATACCACACAGGAAAAGGTGGCCATGAGAATTCTCCATCTTCTGACAGATGGGCCTCAGCTTGTATGTTTCTTCATCACAGGGTCTCTACAACTGTTTTCCCTGAGCTTATCTTTGGTTTTATTAGTCTCAGGGCCTCTGCCCAACTCACAGCCACTGCCAAAACCTCTCTCTCTGTCTCTGTCTCTGTCTCTCTGTGTCTCTGTCTCTGTGTGTGTGTGTGTGTGTGTGTGTGTGTGTGTGTGTGTGAGTTTTTATTTTATGTTTGGTTTTTTTGAGACAGGGTTTCTCTGTATAGCCCTGGCTGTCCTGGAACTCACTCTGAAGACCAGGCTGGCCTCGAACTCAGAAATCTGCCTGCCTCTGCCTCCCAAGTGCTGGGATTAAAGGCATGTGCCACCACTGCCCGGCTGTGTGTCAGTTTTTAAAGAGAATGTTTCTCTGGGTAGCCCTAGCTGACCTGGAACTCACTCTCTAGACCAACCAGGCTGACCTCAATTCAGAGATCCATCTACCTCTGTCTCCCAAGTACTGGGATTAAAGGCGTGTGCCACCGATGCCTGGCTGGAGTCTTTTCCATAGCTTTTTTTTTTCTGCTTCTATAACTTTAGAGAGGAGCTTCCTAAATCTTATAACTTTCTGAGCTTCCTGCTTAGCTTCCAGAGACTTATGAACCTCCCTTCCCCTTCAAGGAAGAAAAGTTTCATTTAGGTTCCGAGAAAATAGCTAAGCAATACTTTGCTCAAGGACACTGGATCTGTCTATGATCAAACCTGTGTGTTTCCGTGCATTCACACGAACAGCAGAATTCAGAGAAAAAGGGAGCCCACAGAGCAAAGCCACACATTAGAATGAAGCCACAGTAAACAAAAGGTAGGCTCACTCAGTACTTCTGGAAAGTTAGCTGCTAAAAAATTTTTTTAAAAAAAGTCATAAAGCACAACCCCTGAAAAACCCAAAATTTTGCCTCTCACTTCACTTGACCTTCAGGGTCCACTGCCATTTATAAGTGGTGGTACACATCTTTAAATCCCAGCACTTGGAAGGCAGAGGCAGGGGGATCTCTACAAGTCCAAGGCAGCTTGATCTACATAGGGAAGAGTTCAATTCCAGCCAGGGTTATAGAGTGAGACTGTGGAGAGAGAAACAGAGAAAAGGGGAGGGGTAGAGAAGGAGGGAGAGAGAGCACACAACTGGGCATCATCCCCTCAGCTGAATCCCTCAGCTCAGAGCCTCTCCACTCCCTAATAGTCTGCAATGGCTGCAATGGCCACACCACACCAGCTTTGCTTCAGGAAAATTTGATCACACTCCCTTTTTCTGATTCATAGTAACAAACTCTGGGGACCTAGCTGTCAGGTTCCCAGGACACTTGAGTTTAGAAGTCAAGATATGTCATCTGGTTCCCACCACACGGGGGCAGAGTTGGCCTGCCTTACAGGGAGCTCTAAGGAACAAAGAGTTTCTGGAGATTGCTCTCCCGAGGGAACTCTCTTTACAGATCCCCACCCTCCCTCACCTCCATCTCTGCCCCCTGTTTCTCTTGGGCCATTTCTTGTCTTATTGTAATCTGAACTTGGATGATTTGGCCCCTATATATGCCATAACTCAGTCTTCAGATAAGCATCTGTGATCCTGATCTTTAAACGAGAACAGTAAACCAATGAATACAAGAAACAATCATCTTCTGGGAAATATGACTGTTAGAAACAAACCCACAAAATACTCGCTGAGCCAGGCTGGTGGCATATGCTTTTAGTTCCAGCACTTGGGAGGCAGAGGTAGGTGGATCTCAGAGTTTGATGCCAGACTGGTCTACACAGAGTTCCAGGATGGCCTGAGCTACACAAAGAAACCCTGTCTCAAAAAACAACAACAAAAACCACTATTGAACTGAGGCCTGAAGATGAAGCCCTGAGATAAAGACACTGCCTGGTGAGCTGGAGAGATGGCCCAGTGGTGAAGACCCTGCCCGGTGATAGTGGCCTCCAGAGTCACAACCACAGTGCATCTGAGGCTGTGGCCCGACACCCAGGTACACAGGAGTCTATCTCTTTAGTCAAAATAAAGTCCACTGGGGTTTGGGTCATCACCACCTCCTGGAGCCTTGGGTCACATTTAGGCATGGCCTGCAGGGCTGTGTGTGTCTTTAATCTCTAAAACTTGAGGCATGCTGCCTCAAACACTCAAAAGTGTCCATGCATGAAGACCATATCAAGGTCAGCCCTGTGGAGGTGGCAGAGATCTAGTCCATGTGCCCCTTGTATGGCCACGGGAATCCTAGACTAGGTCAAGGTCTTTGAGTGTTACTACTTCCCTATAACTTCTGAATTTCCATGAACTTCTCCCTTGGGGGCTGGGTGACGATGTCCCTACTGCCCACCTGACCCAGCTTCCCCCCATATTTCTCTCCTATATTCTTCAGTTGCACGGGTCCATACCTGCTGTCCCTCTGTTATACACCAGTGACTTGTCCCTCCCCAACCCTTTGTTTCTAAAATCTTCCAACTTTGACCTTCCTTTACCTGAGTCCCTCTCCCACACACCACCCCTGTCCACACCATAGCACTCCAAATCCACCTATATGGGGAACATCGTCCAGCCACTTAGAATAGGTACCACACAGAGGAATTGGCTTTAGGTCCTTATGCGACAGTGTACATACAGGGAAACACACTGGCTTTGGTACCAGCAGTAAAACTCCATGGCTGGCAAGAATCCTAGCTCTTCCCCGACCTGGGAGCCAGACACAGAGCCCTCAGCTTTGTCCTAGAAGGCAAGTTGCTGTTGAAGGGGCTCCTAGCTGCCCTTTGGCCTAACAGGTCTGACTTTACCGAGGAAGGAGCCATCACTCCGGTAACCATAGCCAAGGCTACCAGGTATGCTGTGTCAGGCTGGTGCTGAAACCCCAGTGGGTCCAGACAATAGGTGAGACCAAAAACCAGAGGAGACGTCAATTCCTTCCTGGCCTTTAACCCTCTAAGTCCCCCAAATTTTTCTTCCAGGTCACAGGACTAGCCTTGGTGGACCAGCCAGCCAGCCAGGGAGGACAGTTGGGGTCAGGTGTTGGTATGATTAGAGTGGCTTCCTCCACCTGGTTTGCTGGGCTCCCTGCCCACCAAGCTCCACCCTCACCTCCAGGAAGCCCTTCCCTCTGAGCTTCACTGCCAATCACATTGAACTGCCACGCCCCTGTTTCTTTCTCTCAGGGTTTTTGGTGTGATCTTTCACAGTGCTCAGTAATGTGTTGCAGCTAGCTGATTTGGCTCTGATCGGTTGGATTTGGGCATCATGACTCAGCAGGCACTGCTGGCTTTGCTACTTACACTGGCCAGAACCCTGCCTGGCCCTCTGGATGCCCAAGGTAAGCATCCCCGTGGCAGGGCTCCCAGAGAGCATCTCACACACCCTCCTGGGGAAGGGTTGGCCCTAACTTGACTTGAGTCAACTTGACTTGAGTCTTAGTCCTGGAGAAGTCCTAGCTCCGTGGAAAAGCAGAGGCTTGGAAGCTTTCGTTCACAGGATCAGCACTTACCCTTGGTGCTTGTGAGAACCTTGTTCTTCAGTTCCCGTTCAGAGCAGCTGTCTGTGGGAAGTCTTGGTGGTAAGGTGCAAAAGATCTACAATAAGATTATGGGAGGCTCAGGCTCCCAGGCACAATTCTTGTGCAAAACCAGCATCGTGTTCAGTCTTTGAGATGCTGAGGTTTGCATTCAGTCTTGCGTACAGGAAAATGGGTGGTATGGGTGCTAGGCAGGGCAAACGGGCTTGGAATCTGAAAGAGTGGGTAACTCATGAACTAGCCAACATGTACCCCTTGCACAGAGCCACAGGCTCTGGATGCCTAGAAATGACATTGGAGGAGGTGATGAAGTAACCAGCATTGGAAAGAGAAGGCAAAGAGAAGATAGCACAATGGTTGTTTGGGAGGGACTCACTTAAAAGAGAAAGAAAAGGTATAGCCAGTGTGGGGAGTAGTCAAAAGGGAAGAAGTCTTTATGTTGGGATGCAACAAAGTTGCAGAGAGACCTCCCTGAGGACTCCTGGTGTCAGCACCTAGGGCTGTTCCAACATCCCCACAGCATCTTTTAGCTCAGGATTGACCACAGGCCTGGCTCCAAGTCCCTACAGCATTCCTGCAGAGAGGGATGTGATTGAAGAGGCATCTCGCAGGGATACAAAATGGGAGAGTGAAGGTTGGAGGTATAGCGTGTGCAGCTTCTGACCGGGGCATGCGTGTGCATGTGCTATGGGAGATACTTGGGAGTGTGCAAGGACGTATACAGATGTAGGATATGTGGAGTCTCTGAGATATGTGTTAACCTGTCTGAGTTGTCATGTGCCGTGTGCCATTGCTAACAGTGGCTGGTCCTTCTCAGATGTGCATCAGTCTCCCCTAGTCGTGATCGCCTCTGAGGGGGAATCCATCAACATCACCTGCTCTACAAGAGGGGACCTGGATGGTATCTCAATGAAGCGGATCTGGCCTCAGGATTCCAATGTGATTTACTTTGAAGACGGGGAGGAGCCCACAGTAGATGAGACCTTCTCAGACCGAATTGATTTCTCTGGTTCCCAGAAGAACCTGACCATCACCATGCGCCTCCTCCAGCTGGCAGACACAGGAGCCTATGCCTGCGAGGCTGTCAGAAAAGTCAGTGCCCGTGGCTCGTTCACCACTGTTGTGGTGAAAGGTAAGGGACTTACCCATCTGTCTGCTGACCAGGCCGGGAGCCTGCTGCCTTTTAGGGGCCTTCTTTGCACTTGCTGGAGCTGTCTGCTCAGAGCCTATTTCTACCTGGAAACCTCCTAATGGTACCCACAGCTGGCTTGAACCCTAAGGCCTCCAGTGGGGGATCCCCTCCACACATGCTTGTATCCTCTCTTACCAATGGCTTTTTGTGCATTTTCTCAGAAAAACTATCCCAAGAGGCATACAGATCCCAGGAACCTCTGCAGATATCAGTTTCCCTCCCAGCTGCCATTGCTGTAGGCTTCTTCCTTACCGGGCTGCTCCTTGGGGTGCTGTGCAGCATGCTGCTGAAGACACAGGTCAGTATGAGCCTATGGCTGCCATCAACAAGCTGGCCCTTCTCACAGGCTTAGGGCAGAGATCGGTCAGAATGCACATGATGAGATGCTGAAGATTCAGAGAGCCGTGTGGGTGGGGCGTCTCTCAGGGACACAGCATGGGTGAAGCCTAGAAGAAGAGTGTGGGACCAAAATGAGATAACATGTGTGTGTGTGTGTGTGTGTGTGTGTGTGTGTGTACTTGGCTCAGGTCACCATGCTGGCCACTCCCTGGGTGACAACAGGCTATCTTTTTAGATCAAGAAACTGTGTGCCCCAAGGAATAAGGACTCTCCGTGCGTAGTATACGAAGACATGTCCTACAGCACCCGCAAGACTGCATGCATCCCCAACCAGTACCAGTGAGCTCCTCTGCCTGCGGTCCCCCATTCTTGTTTCAGCAAAGCTCACAGCAGTTCTGCTGACTTACCCAACCCAACTTCCCCAGCACCCTTCCTGTGGCACTCAAATGCCCTCTTGGTACTTCTAGGTGAATGGGATTCCTCCTCTGTAAGCTTCCCCACAGGGCTCTGCAAACTATCACCAACCCTAGCCAGGTACCCCTGATATCAGGGAAAAAACTTGAGGTGGGAAAAGTGATACCTGCCCCAGAGCAGCCTGACCAGGAAAAATTAAATAAACAAACAAATACATACATAAAACACTTGTTTTTGATGTTTTGCCTTCCTCCTCTGATCATGGCTTCTTCTAGCCAGCTCCTACCTGAAGAGGGCAGGGATTCAGATTGTCAGACCTCCAGGGTTCTGTGCCCAGTGCCTGTGAGAGCAGAGAAAGGCAATGCTGGGGGAGGGGAGCTCTCCTGCCTCAGCACTCCAGACACCCCACACAGAGCAAGCAGCTCATCTGTGCAGGGAAAGAGCCAGCGGCAACAACCTCACCCATTCTAGACGGCCATGTTCCTAAGGGCCCAGACCTACCAGATCCCTCTCCGTGCAGCCCTCAGTAAGAACAGCATAAAGTGGTAGCTCTCCCGGACTCCGACTTGTCTCAGAGGCTCCTACTGGGGACTGAAGTTACCACAGCACTAACCCAGCACTTGGGGCCAGTTCAGCTCCCAGTGTTGCACCTGGGGTTAGGAACCCTCACTTTCCTACCTGTGGGTAAGGAGACTGAAGTATGGGTACCCAGCTGATACGTGGTGAGCTGCTCTGTCCCCATCTTCTTCATTGACTTCGGGGGTAGCTGAAGCACCAGGACAAGAGCAAAGTCAACACATTTGTGCTGGCCCCACCTCTGCTCCAGACTCTCAGCTGCCACCACCTGTCTCCTGCCATTCTATTCCATCCCTGTTGCTAACAGAGTGAGTACGGAGGACAGGGGACCAACAACAGCAGTGCAGTGGGAGGTTTAACACATAGCCCTGCTCTGTGCACCTGGGAAACAGGGTGTCAGAGAATCCGATGGAAAGGGGCACCCTTCGACCCAGACCACAGCTCTGTTCAACTCTCCAGAGAGCCTCTCATGCTGCCAGCCCATCCCCAGTTCAGCCTCCCTTACCCAGGTTGACCTCTGCCCATTTTCCCAAGCTTCCACCATGGCCCTCACACAGACCATATGCACCATGACACTGACGTGTGGCCACTAAGGTGACTGTGACAACAAAGCCTGAAACAGTATCAGGAGTTCCAGATCCTGAAACAGCCTCCTAAGTCACTAGAAATGTGACCACTCAAGCACCCAGCCTGCCATGTAGATAGGTCCCTGGGCAGGGGCCATGGAGGCCTCCTAAAACCTATAGGGTTAAAAAAAAACCCATGGGACAGCTAAGGCCTCTGTTAATAAGCTCCAACAAGTCTTGTCCCTTGTCCCCTTTCATTTGCAGGCCCAAATCCCATCTATCTGGGCCATTCTTAGGTCTATGTGGCCTCCTAGACAGCACCACCAGCGTCCCTTAGGAAATGTGTATTTTCAAACTTCAGTGATGCCTCTAAGACATGAGGTCTCCCTCTAAACCTAAGCTCCAGCCCTCTGTCCTCCATCCAGGCCTGATCAGGCTGACCCAGCTTCCCGGTCTGTTCCACCCCTGATATCTCAGTAGAGCCAAGTCACTCCAGCACTGTTTGGCCCTCCTGGCAGGCCTTCGTGGACAGGGCGTTGCTCAGCTGGGGGGCACCCATAAAGATTCTTCCCTTGGCATGAAAAGAACCCGGCTAAGATGGTTGCAGATCCAGAGGCTAACAGTGAACCCTGTGACTAAGTTTGTGCCTGACCACCATTGCCAAGTCTAAGACAAAGTTAATGCTGTCAGCTGCATGCTTTAAAAAAAAAAATCCCAAATAAAAATGAACGATGAGCCGGGCAGTGGTGGCGCACGCCTTTAATCCCAGCACTTGGGAGGCGGAGGCAGGAGGATTTCTGAGTTCGAGGCCAGCCTGGTCTACAGAGTGAGTTCCAGGACAGCCCAGGCTACACAGAGAAACCCTGTCTCGAAAAACCAAAAAA